ATTAATCAGATGGATTTGAAATTAGAGGCCATCGAGAACATCTCCACCACAGACATCAAATAAATTACATTCTATTGTATGATGTGGTGTCATGTTTTATTGTATTTAGGAAAAGGAACTGTCAATTTACGTTTTAAAGTTCCATTAAAGAATAACTTTAAAGCTAAGTATTTACATAATGAAAGGTTTGATGTGTTTCAGTTTCAGTGAGGATCTTCTTGACTCAGACATTGTAAACCTAACAGTGGCTGAAGAGTGATACCATGATCTGCAATATGTCACACAGGATATAACCTTTAAATGTATTTTCATCTAATTCAGTAATTAGCAGTAGGACATATCTTACCTGTATTGAGAATAGTAGCATGTACTCCTGAACTAAAATCCTAATTAGTAGCCATGGTCTTTTTCGACTAATGTTATTATCTATGAAAGGACAATTTGCAATGAGTCATGTGGGAATGGATCTTTTGAGTTTTATAAACCAGCTGGCATTCTTGACATTGCTGTTACAGCTGCCCATTCCACAGCCTGAAGAACAATCAATGTGCTGAGATCAGGGGAAACAGAGTAGAAGGAAGGAGTTTTGAAACTGAGCATGACTGGAATCTATTGCATGATTATTACCCTTGGTCCTGTTTTAATTAAGCATCCCAGAGGTTGGAAACACTTCACAAGGGCAACAGCAAATCAAAATAATTAGCCTGCTCTAATGCAGATGGGCTTTATTTGACTGACAGACTCCTTTAATGTTTTTTTTAAGCTGGCTATCTTGCTTTTTGTTGTTTTACAGCAGGGAAGGCAAATGGTGATTTTCGAGGTCACTCTATGTACATCCCTGGTCAGTACTCGACTCTGGGGAGAATTGGCAGTGGACACTCTTCAATGCGCAGGTCTGAGACAAGGGACTCCAGCTGCCAGACAGAAGAGATTAAAATAGTGCCGCCATCAGTGAGAAGGATCCGAGCACAGAAGGGGCAGGGCATTGCGGCTCAGATGGCCCAGTTCTCCAACTCTTCAGGGAGCATTTCTTCCGTCACTGATAGCGCAGGAGTGATATTTGTCCCACAGGTGAATGGGGACAATCGTTTCCACAGCTTGCCAAGGCAAGGAGCCCGAGTGTCCCTGCAGACGATGGAACAGTCCTACAGCATGGCCCACAAACCTGACAGCATGTCTTCAAGCACCTTGCCAAGGCAGATCAGCAAACTGCAAGCCGATGAAACAGTGGTCCATCTCCGGAACACTCCCAAGACAGGAACGCTCCCCAGGCCCAAGTCCCAGGAAGTGAGAAGCTTCCAAAGCGAAACAGTCACGAGTGCTGCCTGCGTGGTATCTCCTCACGCCACTTACTCCACCACTGTCATCCCCAATGCCACGCTTCCATCGTCGGCAGAGGTCATCACAATTCACACCACCCAGAACTCATCTCAGCTGGACAACCAGATGAGGTCAATGTCTTCGTACTCTGACAGACCTCTCAGTGCAACCGGTGTCAACAGTGAAGTAGCTTTGAAGGATGATCAGCAGTTCTCTTTTACCCCAGCAACAACCCCATCCCGCTGTGATTCAGCTGTATCCCTTAACACTGGCAACAATACGGAAACGGAGTCCCAGTGCAGCACTTTAGATGGAAGGAAAGACTGCGGTGCCAAGGATACCCGGAGTGAATCCAGCTATTCAGACAACAGCTTCCAAAGCAGGAGCACAGTTCCAGCAGATCAGTGGATATATGACACACCAGAGAATGTCATGCCCAAGAGGTCCCTCACATCTAGCTGCTCTACACCAGTCAATCACATCTACAGCAGCCTGGAGAGGAGTCCCAGTAAAACGGACACAAGCTCCTTGTACTCCATGGACAATGATGGTTATTACACCTCCATGCACCTGGACTCGGGAATCAAGTCCAGAAGTCACAATGGCATCAATGGAATGAGACACAGCATGTATGAGTGCAGAGATCATCAGAGTCAGGAGGACAGGCTCAGCCTTCACAGCGAGAAATCCCTGTCACGTAGCATCTCTTTGAAGAAGGCAAAGAAGCCCCCTCTTCCTCCTGCCAGGACGGATTCCCTGAGACGCAAACCAGGTAAGAAGTCTCACCCCAGTGGGCCAGTCCTGAATGAATCCTTGATCGCCACGCTACAGCAGTCCTTGCAGCTCAGCTTGAAGAGCAAGAGTGGCTCCTCCCCATCACAAAGCCCTTCCAGTGATTATGACGACCCTTGGGTGCTTCGATCCCGCAGTCAGAGCACAGTCAGTGCCAGCAGCAGCGGTGTGTCGGCCATGGGCGTCAATGTGTATTCCATCTGCACTGTCACCCCTTCCCACAGCGACACGAGCAGTGTCAGATCAGAGTACGTTGAGCCCTGGTGCTATTACATGGACAACAGTTCACAACAGAGTGAGCAGCTCAAATCTTCCGCCACTCCCTTTACCGATGCTGGTGCAGCTCCAGTAGATTGCAGCAATCTCCCCAATGGGTCACAAACTTCATTACCACATGCTCAAGACCCCTCTGTCAAACCAAAGTTGGCCTCCTCTCCTGACAAAGTGCACAGAGTGACGTCTCCATCGAGTGGCTACTCCAGCCAGTCCAACACCCCTACCGCCGGCACTCCTGTTCCTGCCTTCCTGAGGTCCATGTCTCCGGCTGGTGGGAAGTCCAAGCCAAAAGTGCCTGAGAGAAAGTCCTCCCTGCTGTCCTCTGTGTCAATTTCGTCTTCCTCTACATCTTTGTCGTCGAACACATCTGACACAGTAAAAATCCCTGCCGGTTCCAACCCACCTCCGTTGCTCCAGTCTGTTCTCCCTGTGGCCCCACTTCTGCCTTCTGATTCCAGTCCCATGGCACTGCCTCATGCTTCCCCTCTCCCTCCCCCTCCTCCTCCTCCAAACAGTTTTATATCCACCAGCATAACACAAGAACATTTCCCTCCTCCACCAGCTCCTCAGCTGCCGGCAACTCCCATTACATCACCTCCATCAAAGATCCTGTCCCCTAAGAACCCTTCTCCTCCTTTCCCTCCCCCTCCTCCTCCAGATTTCATGTTAGACTGTGTTAGTGTTACTCAAAGTCCACCCCATCATCTTCCTTTGCCTGTCTCCACTCCTCCCCCACCTCCAGCCCCGCCTTTACCTGTCATGGCCCCGCCTCCAGCTCCACCTTTACCTGTCATAACCCCCCCACCTCCACCTTTACCTGTCATGGCCCAGCCTCCAGCCCCACCTTTACTTGCTATGACCCCACCTCCAGCACCACCACTAAGCCTGAAGGGCCTTAAAGATGCTATAAAACCTGCATCATCTCCAAGCATTGACAACACATTCACAGGGAGTAAGAGATCTGTTTCCAATCCTCCAGGAGAACCTGGAAAATCTGTGATGCCACTGATCACTCCTAAAGCCCTTCAAATGGTGCAGCTGAGGTCCATCAAGAAGCCAGGAAAATCCAATGCTGAAACAATCGACACTACCAACACTCAGGAAACACAGGAATTTACTGATTACCACAAGCCCTTAACACCAGAGAAGCCTATAAAGCAACAACATCCTGTTTTGCTACAGCAGACGTGCTTAAGCTCCAGCTTGGATGGTTTTCAGAAGCCTCCAGCACCTGTTAAAAAATCGCAATTATGTTCCTCTGATGACTCTGTGTTCACACATCTGGACAAAGCTGCAATCACTGGTCAAACAGACAAATCAGCAATACAAAATAAGAAACTCGTCAGCTCAGGGTCCACAGATGAGCCTTTGCCTGTGGTGGTCGATTACCAAACCCAGAGTCAGTCTGAGACAATGGAAACGCCACCGTTGCAGGGTAGTGCCACCAAGCAGAAACCACCTGTCTTCTCAAAGAAACCCAAACTGACTCTCATTATGTCTCCATACAAGCCACAGCCAGCCTCAGAAGAAGAGAATTTGCACTCTTTGGAGGCAGATGTGGCACAGGTACTGAGTCCACAAAATGGAGTTTCTGTTACTACTGACCCTCTCAAACTGTCAGACGATGAAGATGACAATACAACTATGAGCTGCACTTTGGGAGCCCAGACCACACAGAGTGATGACGCCCCTGATAACCAGCAGGAAGAGCAGACCATTTCAGATGACAAGAACAATTCAGATGGAGATGGAACCGGCAGCACAACAGGGTCTATAAGTTCCAAAGATGAAGAAAATGGTGAGTGATGAAATGTAGAATTCATTTGAAATGTCTGCCTCTACAATGTATGGGTATTCATACTGTATATACTAGCAACTTCATGCTCAAGTCACTACAACCGTGAAGATATATTGGATGTAGATGAGGGTGCTTCTTTAACATCCCTTTCTTTGATCTAATTTAGCTGTAATGCTGGTGAGCCTTAACAAGGCCAAAGCAGCTATTCGTTGCCAAGTTTGACTTTATACATGCAAAAGCCAGAATTGGAAATAATAAGACTGTTTTGTCTCCTAAGCATTGGAATTCTACAAGAGCTATTTAATATTCATATCCATAATTCATAGCGACTGCAAGCTCTTAAAGTAAAAAGCACCATAGCCCTGGAGGCAGCTGCTTGTAAAATACATTATATATATTCACAAATGCATGCCGTTTCCTTTCACAATAAATATATGATATTTAATGTACTTTTATAAAATGTATTTATAAATGTGTGGGATTGGGCTGATTCGTACATTTTTTTAAACAATTGCCACTCCAAACTCTATACATCTGTATGCTTTTTTGCATATTGTTAAACATTTTTTATATTATGAAAAGCAGGGACATTTTTTCTGTGTGAAAGAGCAATCTTTTCTGTCAGCACTGAAAACTAACTGACAGCACTCAGAGTTGTGCAGAACACAGTGCTTCATTTCTTAGTTTCATTCATAAGCATGAGTCTGCCGGCTTCGTGGTAGTGTTGTAAGAATGTGGGGAGGCTGATGGTATTTTACCTTCCCTGTAGGCTGGACTAAACCATTGCACAGTGACCAGCATTTACACGCCTGCATAATTTTATTTCCTGTCCCTCAACAGACAGATCCTTCTAGCTTTGTCTTCCTCTTCTGGTGGCTCTTCAGCCTTTGTACAGAGCCATTCTTGAACAAAAGAATGGAATCGGCCCACAATGGAGTCAGTCAGCAACCCAGCACCTCCCCCCTTTTCCTGCAGGCAGTCCTGCAGTCCTTTTACAGGGTCTTTCCTAGGCTGTATGTGTCCCTCCAGCTCCCCGCTTCAGCACTCTGCCCCACCACCTCCTTCCTCCAGGGGGGTTTTACTGTGAGCTCTATCTGATGCAAGTTTCTGAGAGACCCTCTCCCTCCCTGTGATTGGGCAGTGTTCCCTGGAGAAGGACAGGGAAGGGGGTTGAAATCAGATAGCCTACAGCAGCTGAGACAGCCAAGTGCAGATGTTAAAAAGAGGGATAAAGCACTTGGAAATTAAGAAAAGAAAATTGGAGATGAGGAGTTTCCTTATCACCGACAACTTTCTGGTCAGCAGATATGTTGCCATTTATCGCCTGATAGAGTTTTAACATCTGTTGCTTTTTTTAATGATCCCTCTGTATATGATTTCTGTTTCTTAGGTGAGGTCTTTGACTCTGACACCGCGAACTCCTCGCCCCCGCCCGCCTCCCGCAGGGAAGCGCTGGATGACATGGTGACGCCAACGAGACCGAGGACAACGGAGGATCTGTTTGCGGCCATTCACAGGTAGCTCCTGCCTTTCAGGATGAGCCTTTTCCATTCTCCCTATGACCCCGAGTAATAGCCTGGACCTGATACATTCGTTGTCCATCCGTCTTAATGGCTCTATGCATGTTCATTTTTTCTAAACTTTTTTAAAAAGAGAATGGGGGCAGATTCTCTTTTCATTAACTGCATGTTCTCTCAGTAAGTGAAGCAGAGAGCATTATATGTTATTTGTTAATACAAAGTAACCTCCTTTGCCTATCATTTTCTTATTAGTATATACCTGTATGCATTTAAGCATAAGTTAATACAGGAAGACAAGTTGACCCTGATCCTTCAAACTATATATCACCCTGGAAGGATATATACAGTAGTTAGAATATTTCTCTTGAGACTTTCAGTACTTCCTCTTTTTGATGGGATTTCCTTTCAGTCACCCAGAGGGCCTTATAGCTTTGCTCTTCTAGATAACCCATTCACTCTGACAAAAGGCATGTGGTGGCCCTTCAAACAAGGGTAGCTTACTGCCTACAGCAGATGGAAATGCTAGAGATATTGCTACGTACAGTTTCCATTCTGTTGTAGATTGCTCTGCATCTTGTTCATGCGCTGTGAGCTGAAAGTAAAGCAGGTATGGCATCATGTGGTCATTTGTTTTAAACCAAAGAAATCTGGAGAACATGTTTTGAGAAACATTCTCTATTTCTGAAGCTACAACAGCAAAGCCTCCAGTGGTTCCTTCTAGTATAGCTCCCTTTTGTATATCAGTATGTCTAAAGCTTAAATAGGAACGACAGGTGTTTGTTAACAGAAAAGTACAGAAGTGAGTTTTATATATTATCACATCAGTTCCTGATATTTCAAATAACAAACCACACACAATGTTTGCAATGTGGTGAATTTTCAGACTATCTCATACACAGACATATACAAATCCAGATTCCTGCCCTAATTTGGGCAGTGCGGTGACTCTGTGGCTAAGGATCTGAACCTGTGGCTGAAAGGTTGCCGGCTCGTATCCCACGGCCGACAGAGGAATCCTACGCCGTTGGGCCCCTGAGCATGGCCCTTAACCCCAACTGCTCCAGGGCTGCTTTATAAATGGCTGACCCTGCACTCTGACCCCAAGCTTTTCTCCCTGTGTGTCTCATGGAGAGCAAGTTGGGGTATGCGAATAGTCAAATTCCTAATACAAGAAATTGTATATGGCCAATAATGTGATCTTGTGATTTTGCCAGAATTGTCAAAGGTCCTGCATTGGTAAAATGACACTGTCTTGGGCGTTTGTCTGTCTTCACAAATGTCTGTGTTGTATTTTTTCCAACATCCTGTTGACTGTATCATGTTTCTCTCATTGTCTGTCATTTTTAAGCGTCACTGTTTCTTTCCCTTTTGTCTCATTTTCTGTCATTGCTTGCCATTTTTTCCTCCTCTTGTCTGGGTGCAGTTTGGGTGACAGACTGAATGCTAATGCATCATGGCAGGCGTGGCTCAGACTGGCAAGTAACCTTGTAACTGGCTGGTTCTGTTACCCTGTACTAGACTTGGGCAGGATAGGTTCCGTGTAACAGGCTCCTTCTTTCACTGTGGTAGTCCTATCCTAACATACTTAGCCAAGGCTTTCATGCAAAGAATATCAAGTCTCTTTACATTTTGAAGACTCTGTTGCCACCTGGTGGAGAAAACAAACACTAAATAAGCAAATTTTCTGTATTTTTCAAACACTGCACTTACGTTTCTTAAATATGTCCTATATATGTAAATATTGTCCTATAAATTTCCAGAAAGGCACAAGGGTCCAATCTGCTGAGTTGAACTTTTAAGACATTATTTAAAATTTCAGTTAACTTTTCCATCAATCGATTACAATGCTTACCGTACCTTCATATGTGAACAGTATGGTGTAATAGGACTATGGGACATATAACAACAGTTCCATAAGATAACTGTAATAAATTAACAAATTTTACACTTCCTCTTTTAATAGAATAAAACTTAAAATAGTAATTATTTTAGTAAAAACAACCCCGAAATAAAAGTGCATCTAAATCATTATTATTTTAGTTGGTATACTTTAAATGTTGGGAACAGAGTTGAACCAGCACTTCAGTACTAACATGTTAGTGTGCTAACAGATTTTCAGCAGCTTCTTGAGGCTCTTAAATGCAGGTTGTTGTTACTTCATTTGTGCCATTTGCTGTTTGGCAAAATTGGGGAAATTGTTAGGACTTGGATGGCATTAGAAGGGTGGTGTCGAACCCATATTAACAATGTTTAATGAATTATGTTTCCCAATTTCTGAAGGCAACCGTTTAGGTTTTTTAAAGTATATTTTTAACTAGAGGTAGTGTTTGTGCAAAAAATAAAAGGTAAATTAGTTTTGTAGTTTTGTAAAAAAATAAAAAATTCACAGATACAGATACAAGTACAAAATTATAACTTCCAGTTGCTGTGTCACTATTATCAACTCCAGTAACAGAAATTCATGTAGCATAGGGGGTCCTAAAGGGCGAACTAAAAAGCAAAATCTGTTCCATCTGTGCCAGGCTTTGATGTAAACAGCTCCCTGATAATGAAGTTGAACTAAAGTTGCTCTTGTTTTATACAAGTTCAAGTAAGGAGCTCATCAGCATGCATAGGCTGCAAAGGAACAGGTAAAGGTTTATTCCATGCTGAAAAGAAAAGGGACACAGTGTTTCGGCTGTGGAGCCTCCTTCAGGTGTGTCTCTTTTCTTTTCAGCATGGAATAAACATTTACCTTTTCCTTGCTGTATACAGCTCACCTTTATAATGTCACATGCCCATTTCTCAGTTTTGCTCTTGAATGTCTGCTTGTTCCTTTGTATTCTACATCCTTTGTAACCCTACAATCATTGATTGCCAATTTGTATTCCTGCTAAGAACTGGTGGCATGTGAAAGAATGACTGTAGTTAGCAATCAATGACATAACTTAGCAAATATCTTGCCTTAACAAAACCTTGCTAAACCCCAGTCCCGAATGGTGCTGAAAGTTGTATCTGTCATTCCTCACTCTAGATCCAAAAGGAAAGTTCTGGGCAGGAAGGAGTCTGAGGAGGAGCGGGTGCGAAGCCACTCCCCATCCCCCCCGGTCACCCCCACCGGGGGGGCACCAGGCCTGGCCTCTCTCGCCCGGCCGACCGGCTCTATCCAGCGCAGTGTGCGCAAGACGGCCACCAGCAGCGACAGCTTCAAAGCCCTCCTGCTGAAGAAGGGCAGCCGCTCCGAGACCAGCTTCCGCATGTCTGCCACAGAAATGCTGAAGAGCACCGACCCCCGCTTCCAGAGAACCCGCTCCGAGTCTTCCCCGGAGACCCCCGACAGCCCTGGCTCCTGCAGCTCCCCCTGCCGTGGCAGGAGAGCCCAGGAGGAGTGGGCCAGGAGTGAAGGCTTGCTGCCCAGACTCTCCTCCTCCTCCTTCTCGGGCATGAAGTACGGCCGCTCCCGCACCCCCCCCTCTGCCGCCAGCAGCAAGTACAACGCCCGTAGCCGCCTCCTCAGCAGCCCCATGACTGTCATCTGCGAGAAGGAGGGCGAGCAGGCTGAGGCAGCCGACTCCTGTGGTCCCGCCGACATCAACTGGGATGGCACGCTTGAGGACCAGGCGCTGGAGGATGGAATGGCAAATAACGGGGATCCCAGCCCTGTTTCTGAAACGGACTCGGCCAGCAAGCCTCAGGACTCCGACGGCACTTTATGTGAAGAAGGGAACAGTTAAGCAGGACAAGCCCGTGAACCAGGGTCTTGTAATAACCTACAGCCAAGTCTCACAAGGATGAACCTGCTCTCCCAGTAGCTCTCCACCTGACCAAGGACCGCTTCACAGGGTTCTGGTGTTTGTTTGAAAGGAGGAGACGGCTGAAGTGAACTTGCTGAGGTGCTCAGCTCTGAAGTGAAAGGCTATTTTCCGTAGCTCTTTTAACAGCTGTATTTCAAGAAGAGGTAGCAGCCTTCCCCGAGCCAATGTAGCTGCAAGTTTTCCCATTCTGTTCTTCTCTTTGGTGGGTTCAGGGGTCTTGTAGGAATCCTCCAGTTTTTAGGAAATTGCTTTTAAAAACACAATGACAGAAAGAAAGAGTGCTCACAGGGAAAAAATAGAAAAGTAACTAGTGTTTTGGGGGGTTGATCTTTTGATGCTGGAATGGTGCTACTAGTTAGAAAAGATGACTGCAGACTAACTAGTATTCTAGCAGAGAATGTGCAACAGTGCAAAAAAGTGAAGGATTATACTAACAGTTTCATGTGTTGTTTTTCTTAAAAACGTGTTTCTTTTAATTAATGCATTTTTGAATATAATAAGGGATAAAGTAAACCAGCCTTACATTTTTACACTTTAGTTTCCTATTACACTCCACTAGGTGGAATCTGATTCTTTGTAAACAGATACTAATTTTTTCATAAACTGTTTTTGACTAAATGTTCTTCCACGTTGCCCACATATGTAGATATTTTTCTTTTGTTTTGTTGAGAGCAATACCAAGGGTACAGTTTCTAAGACTTGGTCTTTTTCCATACTGATATTAAAAAAAAACGCAGTCAAAAACTGCTCAAAAAGACGGCTGAGAAGCACATGGGATTTTCACATGAACAGAAAGCACTGCCAAGAAAAGAAATGATTATGGTTTATAAGTCTTTTATAAGTTTTTAGTTTGTAGATTTGCACTACAGTTAATTTTATTGTTCTTTTTTAAATTATAGGAATCTATTAATAAAACTGTTAGTATGATTTACTAATTGGAATGAAGAATGGATTTGAAAGAAAAGACAAATTACTTGAAAGTTAACAGCCCTGTTAACATTTGTTAATGTTTTGGTTACCAAAGAGTTCATTTTAGCCTTCAGTATTTACTTGTCAGGGCATAGTTTAGTTTATCTCTAAAATTTTGATGTTAGACTAAATGTTATAAGGCTGTTTTGCAAAGCTACACTTAAAAGTGCTACTGAATACTACATCTTATAACTTTTAACACCAACCAGATTTTTCCTAACATTGGCTTAAGATCCTATGTCCTTTGCTTTCTCATTGTTAGAAGTTGTGCATATAATTTTATGAAATATCTACATATTAATATTAGTTTTTTTATTGTGAATGTAGATCATACATTTCTTATAATAGTGTAGTAAGAGAGAGTTTTTTTTCTGGAGAACGCCAAGATGCTGTGTGTTGGTTCCCCAGTGTGATGTGACAAAAAGTGATAGTTCAGCCTGTCATTAGCTGGACATTTAAAAACATTAATTCCAGGAATAAAGCATGTAAATGGCATTTGACCTTAAGTATCCAATAAGGAAAAAAAGCTGTTGGTGTTAATATTTGAAGTTGTATGATAAAATGGTGAGTAGCGTTTTAGGAGACCTGTAAAAGCAAGACTAATTTTAACAACTCCACTGTCCATTGTTTTTTTTATTTTTCTTGTGACTGATTTTCTCTTCTGAGCAGTTTTATATTCTTTGTAAATAGAAAATTGTAAAAGTAACTTTTGACTTCTTTATACTTCACAGGATTTGTACATTTTTAGAGCCTTTTTTTTAAAGAGGGGGATAAACTTTTTGTAGACTATTTATTTCAGAGTAGTGAAAAGATTGTTGTGAGTTCTTTTCCCATCTGCAGTCCTGTTGCTTTAGTTTGAGAAGTTTTGTCAATTCTGAGGTTTTTAAAGTTACCATGTGTCTAAAAAGGTGGAGCACCAGATCCTGTAGTTAACAAGCTTCCAATCAAACCAGGCTGCTATGTTTGTCAGTCTCTGTAATAAAGCTTGTGTTATTAAATGTCCAGTCTGAGTCACTACAATCAAGGAGTCCATAACAAGACATTTGGCCCACCTGTATACACTGACTTTGATGATTGAATAAATTGTGAGAAAATGAAAAAACTCAATGTCAAAATAAGTGAAAAAGGGTTCCAGGTATCTGTGGACTCCTGTTACTAATGACATCTCTTCCTGAACAGTTCATGCCACCTTCTATAACACATTTAAAGCTAACAGCAGGCTATTCTGATTTGAAGCCAAGTAAAGGCAACGTTACTTTTTTTCATAAGCATAACATGCATTTTTGAGATCATTACATGAAGTGGTTTGAAGACTTCTTTAACATAAATTGGGGCTACTTGAAACTATAAAGATGCTGCCCTCCTCTCCCAGTCCATCAATACAGCATTTGGGGACATGTTGCTGAAGTAGGTATAATGACATAGCATAACAAAAGGACTTTAAAACCACCAATAATGAGACAAGTAAAGTGCAGGGATTTGCTGAACCTTCCCTGTCTCAGTCCCTGCTTAGTGTACCAGCAGGAACTTATCCAGTATTCTTACGAGAAGGAAACGAGGAGCAACACACTAAATTTGAAAACTTACACACTGCAGAAATTCTCCCCTTACTGTTTATCCACATAAGGCTGAGAAAAATAATTTTATAATATTCCCTAAAAGTCTTAATCTGATCAAGATACTCAGGTCCTTTCCATCATTTACATTTTCTTACAGAAAAGTTGATTAAATTAATAAACATAAGGTAAATAAGACTACAAGATATGTATTAAAGGTGCTTTTTCATTAATAAAGGTTGTGCAAAGACTTTAAATGCTCTTCATTTTTATTTCAGATTAAAAAAAAGTAACAAAACCATATTTACACTTGAAAGAATGAGTTAAAGTAATTATACTTAAGGTTAGCAGTCGGCATATCTTCTGCAGAGCAAATATCACACTTGTACAAGGCCAAATGGTTTCATAAGCAACAGTGTTATTTTAAAACATTAAAAATGTTTTTAACACCAGTCACTTATTAAATGACAGGAGAGCTTGGTTACCATTAGTAATAAATAAGGGCATACCCACTATTTAATCGGGCTTTCAAGCGTTAGTGTCTTCGTCAGTCTTCTTCTTGAGCCACACCTCATTACGTCTGTTCACCAGTTTGAAAGGACTGTCGTAACCAGCAGTGTAATACTCCTTATCGACAAACTGATGGCCGTCCCTTCTCAGACTCTCAGACAGCTTCAGCAGCTCCTCCCGGCTCTTCTGTTCATTTGAAAACCCCCCATATGTCCTAAGATGGAATCAACACAAAAATGCAGGCTAAGAATATTAGACATCTGTGCAGTGCAATTTCAAATCCTTCTGATTAAGACTAGGTCAGAGGTCTCCTCCCCAGCGTCTGATGATATTCTGAGGGTGATTGCACAAGCTTGAGTTTTAAATACGTGGTAAGGAAATAGCGCGGATCTTTACTGTTAGAATAACTAAACTACTTCCATGTACAGAACCAGATAATCAAAGTAATATGTCTAAAGAGAAATAATGGTTAGTTAATAGTTATTAGTTATTCTACTAACATATTCCATG